TGAGGGCCAGTGATCAACTTTTTGAGATCCAACCAGTCCATCCTAAAGGAAATCAGTCCTGAATATTCATGGGAAGGACTGATGTTGAAGCTGAAACTCCAATAACTGATGTGAAGAGCTAACTCACTGGAAAGGACCCTGATGCAGGGAAAGACTGAAGGCAGGAGAAGGGGACAACAGAGGATGAGATGGTTGGATGGTATCACTGACTCGATGGACATGAGTTTGAGTAAACTCTGGGAGTCGGTGATGGACAGGGAAGCCTGGTGTGCTGCAGTCCATGGGGTCGCAAAGAGTCAGACACAACTGAGCGACTAAACTGAACTGATCAACTTTTTAGAGTCATAAGGGAACACTGCAGATCTCTGATAAATATCATTATACCACACTGCTTTGTGAACACACATAAAGTCAGGGGGAAATGTTGATGGATGGCAGAAACCAACACAATACTGTAAAACAATTATCCTTCAATTAAAAATAAATAAATTGAAAGAAACAATCAGGGGGAAAGGTTCAGGCAGGGAGGGGAACAGACCGGGCAAACCTCATATAAGATCGAGCCTGTTTTCTCCCTCAAACTTGAACTACATGAGTAGCAGCTGGGCGGAACGCACTCCCTAATCAAATGTAGGTTAAGGTGTCAGGAGACACCCCCCACCGGCTGAAACAGGATACGCAGAACACTATGGACGGTTTATCGGCTGAATAATTTACGCCAACACTATTTACAACATAGTTACTGGGCACAGCAGAGAGTACCAGGGGCCCTTCCAGACTCAGCTCAGTGAGCGCAGGGAGCCAGAATGAAGCTTTTAGATCACATGGTCCGTCCCTTCTTCTGCTCGACAGGACGGTCACCTACAGAGTACTCAGCCCCCAGCAGAATGTACCGTGCTGACCCCCCAAAAATGGCAACTGCATGAACACACAGGGGCAGCCAGTAATAAGATACTGACTGAGTATCTGAGGCTCTCTGCTCAGCTCTAAAATGCATTCTTGATTTCAATGGAAAGTATGTCACATATTTCTTTTTTTACTGGATGCATTAACCAACGCTTCAGCTCCACAAAGATCAACATATTCCAACCAGAACTCATTTCCTGCCTGTCCCCAAAATCTGTTCCTGCTTCCATCTACAAGAAGGCAAGCATTCACCTTTCCTTTTCTGTCTCAATACCATTTCCTGAATAACCGAGAGGGGTGTTCCTCATTGACCCATAGTCCCAGCATCGTCATTCTGTACATTTATATCCCAGATCCACAGATATGTTTCTCTACGCGGACTTCTTGGATTTGGCTATTCCTATGTCAGTCCTACAATATTCAAATGATGTCTGCTTGACAAGCAGTATGTATTTTTATACTGAATCTGCTCCTCTCAAACACTTCTAGCGAAACTTCTCAATTTGCCTAATTTTGATCAAAACCTCAATCGCATTACAGGTTAACTAGAGAAAAAGGACTGTTTTTACAACATTGAATGTTACTCTCTGAATAAACAAGATGCTTTGCCAGTCAGTCTTCTTTATGTCCTATAGTAAAGCTTCATAATATTAGTCGCTCAGTTGTGTCCGACTTTTTGCAACCCCATGAACTACAGCCTGCCAGGCTCCTCTGTCCATGAGATTCTCTAGGCAAAAATACTGGAGTGGGTTTCCATTTCCTCCTACAATAGTTTACTACAAAAATGTCTACACAAAGGTCCCTACATTTCTTTTTACATGTTTCCTTAAACATTTCATAGTTTTTATTGCTTCTGAAACTCCGATCCTTTATCTATGACATTTTCTAACCAGTTATTGCTGATATAAAGGAGAGCTATTTAACTGTTTTATACTTCTCTTGTACCTATTTTCTGAGGCCAACATGTCAGCTAACAACCTAGCCTTTCAACCTTTCTGCAAAAAGAAGCTTCTATTAACAGGTGAGTCCCTTTTATCTATTCAGCATTTTAAATGTATCTTGAGCCTATCTCTCTATCTACATATACACACACATACACCCATGCACACACACACAATATCAGTGTTCCACACCTCTGCAAGTAACACTGGCTGGTATGGAAGAGCTCCCATTGATTCCTCAGCAAGAGCCTGGCTTCACTCCCTGTGTATCTAACTTCAGGGCACTGGTGAGCTTGGCACAAAGAATGGGTCACAAGATTCAGTTCTACCTTCCTCAGACTGCCAACACCACTTTGGATGGCTCCCGTATCTACCCTAATTAGGAGCAAGTCAGGATCTCCTGTGCTCATGTGTTGTAACACTCAAGGCTTCTAAATGCTTCTTTTCTCTTCTGCGCACATTAAAACAAAAGGGAGCACTCTAACTTAGTTCGGCCACAATGGTCTCCTTGAGCTGATTTGTCTCTGTCTTTGTACCAGTACACTGATGATGCTCACATGTTTTCTCCTAGTGGATAAAAATTACATATTAAACTGGGAGTTTTACATCAGGTTGTCCATCTGTAAAATGCTATATTTCTTCGACACACTCAAATATTTTTAAATTATATTCAAGTGAAAAATTTTTATTTTAGTAAAATACTTAAGATCCTATCACATGCATAGTGTTCTTAATGTACACTATCCTCTAAATTGTGGGGTCATGTAACTAGTTTTTTCCAACAGAATGAGAGAAAAAGTGGAGGGCAGGCATGCTCTCTCTGCGCTCAGCTCACTGCGGGACACACCATTCCCTCGATTTAATCAAGAGGATTCTAGAGACCCTGAAGTAGGTGGGGCCACAAGAAAGGAGCCTGGTTCCCTGAATGATTGTGGGGAGCAGAGGCCCCCTCCTCAGTGGGCTGGTGTGAATGAGAAATAAACTTGCTTTATGTAAAGTCACAAGAGCAATGTGCTTCATTAGTGGTTAGCCCACCCCTAGCTAGAGAGTGATGAGAGTTTAGAATAGCAGATAAGGGAAATAAAAAAGGTAATGACTAAGATAAAAACGAAGAAGGGGTTATGAGGCTCCAGTGAACACTGGATCACAGAATTTGTACTTCTACCAATTCTTATTAATAAACTGAAATCTGCTACGTTAAAGTACTTAGTAAATGTGGCAGTTTAAAAATACACGTAGCTAGTTCCTATTTTCATTACACTAAGATGACAACATGTGACCTAGGCTATCTAAGTTCATCAAGATTCAAGGTGGCCCAATACACCTACTGATTCTGCTCAATAGCTTTTTGCTTTAAGAATTCCTGTTGTTTATAAGTTGATAGTGAAAGTGAAGTCGCTCAGTCATGTCTGACTCTTTGCGACCCCATGAACTGTAGCCTACCAGGTTCCTCTGTTCATGGGATTTTCCAGGCAAGAATACTGGAATGGGTTGCCATTTCCTTCTCTAGAAGATCTTCCCGACCCAGGGATTGAAACCAGATCTCCCGCATTGTAGGCAGACGCTTTACCATCTGAGCCACCAGGGAAGTCCTTTATAGGCTCATAGCCAACATCTATTCTCTTCTTCTGTATGTCAGGTTATTTCTGAATTCTATTCAATATATTGCTAATTTGACTAACTAGTTTTTTAGTGTATTTAATATTTTGCTTTATCTTGGTTTTATTTGTTCTTTTAGATATAATCTTTTATCCAAGTGGTTTTAAAATCTGTTAACAAAAGTAAAATCCACTTTGATATCACTAAGAAGAAAAAGGTAATTTATCTTCTGAAATTCTCCTGTTTTATAACAGTGACTTTTCTTTAAGCTCACACAACGGTGGCTCTTTTCTAGTGTTCAACAATTTATTCGCAGATGCCATGATTTGTTTCATTTTCTTTTTTCCACTTACTTATCCTTCAGTTGAATTTACTGGTCCTTATTTATCCTGTAGAGATAACTCAAGGCCTATTTAAAAGCAGGTCTTCTGTGTCTTTTTCAACAAACAAAGCTGTCAGGCTTGACATATACACCGTAGAGTTTTATCTTCAACCTCCCCACCCAGTACGCAGATGTTAGCAGGTGTCCCTCTACAAAGACGGGGAAGAAGTTCATTTTTAAGGTCTTGGATTGCATTTATCTCACAAGAGACATTCAATCAGTTCGGTTACAGGCAAAAGACCCTTTCAGAGCCAAGGAAGGATTAAATTTCCTCTGAAGAAAAACAAAGCCTGAAGTTATTTCTACCACTCACTAGAATACTGAATATTAGAATGTCAAACATTTCATAGATGTGAAATGCATAAAACACATGTTCAAGTGCATTCTCATGGAAATTCAGCCTGACAAAGCTAGTCCGAGGACTTGCATCCAAAGACAGTCCCACAGTGTGTTAAGAAGCAAGAACAAGCTATCAGATGTTACACAGCAGTTGGTGAAACACTGTACAAAAGGGATTTCAAGAAGGGAGGGAGGAAGCAAGGGAAGGAGGAAGAGAGAGAGGGAGGGAGGAAGCAAGGGAAGGAGGAAGAGAGGGAGGGAGGGAGAGAGGGAGAAGAAGAAAAGACGGGTAGCAAGGAAGCAGGCTCAAAGGGGCTGGTTTTCAATAGTTATTGCTGCTGCTGCTGCTGCTGCTAAGTCGCTTCAGTCATGTCTGACTCTGTGTGACCCCAGAGACGGCAGCCCACCAGGCTCCCCCGTCCCTGGGATTCTCCAGGCAAGAACACTGGAGTGGGTTGTCATTTCCTTCCCCAGGGGATCTTCCTGACCCAGGGATTGAACCCAGGTTTTCTGCATTACAGGCACACGCTTTACCGTCTGATCCACCAGGGAAGCCCAGAATTGGAAAATGCTTTCAATATCAGCATGTCATACAACAAATTTTATTCCCATATATTTAGAAATTTTACAAAAGTCAATTAAAAAAAGGTTATTTTTGTGACTTACACATCACTATAAAAGACCACTTTCAAAGAAGAAAAATGTTAAATTTACAAAAAGAATTTTAAACGAAAAAGTTTTTCATTTGAACTACTAAATGGAATTATATTTTGTCTTTTAACCAACATGTTAGAATAGATAAACAGACTTCTGAGTCAAAGTTTTCATCTTACCCTGAAAAATCAGCAGAATATTGTCCATAATCAAAGATATAGACTCTAGTGATTTGGCATACTGTGAGGTATCCCAAAGCAAACACGAAACAATATCTGGAAAACAAAAACAAGCTAGATTAGTGAAATAAAAAGATTCATTTTGTTAAAAAAAATACATTTTAAACTAACATATTAACTATATGATATGGTTCAAAAATTGTAAACATCACTAGATCTACTCCACAAATGGCTTTCTTTGATAAATTGTAAAAACTCTTTACTAGTGTCTGCTTCAGTTTCCTTAAATTTTGTACCATTTTCAACGGCAAACACATTTAGTTCCTACCTTTATTCATTTTTTCCTTCTGAAAAACCTCCATATAACAGAGTATGTATCTGAAAGTCATGCTTACAACATAATGCTTACAACATAAAACTGAATATGGTAAGTACCGGTATCTATTTATTTTTCCTTCTTTTAGAAAACAAAATCTAGTATGAAAATATTTGGCTGAAACAAACATCAAACAAGTTCTTAAGAGTATTTTTAAGACTTGTCCTCAATCATCTAAAATCATAAACAGTGTGTAGCAGGTGGTATTTACTCACATTTTATAAACATAAATGTTTAATAATTTTCAGTCTTAAGATGTATGGGAGAGAGCTACAATAATTAAAAACACCAGGATTTCCCTGGTGGTCCAGTGGTTAAGAATCCGCCCATCAATGCAAGGGACATGGGTCCAATCCCTGGTGAGGGAAGATTCCACTTCCTGCAGGGCAACTAAACCCACGTGTTGCAACTAGTGAACCCACGCTCTAGAGCCTGGGCTCTGCAAAGAGAAGCCACCACAATAAGAAGCTCGCATACCACAACTAGAGAGTACTCTCCACACCCCCCACCGCCCCCCCCAACCCCCCCCCAACCACTTGCTGCAAATAGAGAAAGCCCGGGCATAACAACAACAAAGAACTAGCACAGCCATAAATTAATTATTTGTAAAAAAGAATTTAAAACATCATCTGGGAGAACTAATTTACATATCAAGAGAACAGAAATTCACAGACTCTAGAATATATACCACTGTGTAAAATGAAGGCTGTAATGCATATCACATATGTAATACATATTACATACATATAATATGTAATGCATATTAGCAGGAGTGAATGGATTATCACCTAATGAGTTAAACAATTTGGGTGGGTGAATGGAGCTGTACCTTCATCGAAACAATCCTAGACGGATAAAAGAATTAAATATACAGTATAATACTAAAACACATAGGGGCTGTGAATAAGTATTCAAATGTCCTCAAATTGGAGAAGGACTTTCTAAACATACATAACACAGAAGAAATCAATAGGAAAAAAAAACCCAATGTAGTTGATTAATTTAAAACATTAAACTTCTCAAATAGGCCATTCAGGAGGTTTTAGGAAAGGGTCCTTTCATACTTCAGACAAATAGGTAATTCTGATATACTTGGATTATTCCTGAGCAAAGACGTCTGCACTAGATAACTGAAATAATCTTTAGTAAGAGTTTAGCACACTAAAACTAATTATAACTTAAGATAGCTTGACCAAGCAGCGTTTATTGGATAAATGCAAAAATGATTCAATATATAGGAAGCCAAACTTAGTGGTGTAGAAGTATTTACACCTTGGTAATTGGCAGACACTATAGATTATTCAATGAACATGAATTTGAGCAAACTCCAGGAGATACTGAAGGACAGGGAAGCCTGAGTGCTGCAGTCTATGGGGTCACAAAGAGTCAGACACGACTTACCGTCTGAACAAACAAATGGATTATTCAAACCAGAGATAATCAAACCAAAGCCTGTAGGATAAATCTCACTCCCTGCTTTGCTTCCGTCAATCATATTTTGTGTGGCCACTCAAGGCCATTCACACGCATGCTGTTTATGGCTGCTGTGGCCTCAGAACACCTGAGCTCAACAGGCGTAGCAGCATCTACAGGGCCCTCAAAGCCTAAAATACTTACTATCTGGCTCTTTATGAAAGAAGTTTGCTGACCCTAAACAGAACCAATGAAGAGAATGCTAATAATAGACACTAAACTTTTAAAAGTATGTCATGACCTGCAGCTATGACATTGTGAATAGCCCCCCGCTCAAAAAAAAACCCAGAAAATCTTATTCTTCTAGCATTCAAAAACTATTATTCAATTCAGCATAGAAGTTGCTCTTACTCACATTATGGACAAAAAGAGAAAAGTGTCAACCTGTACCTTTAGTGTTTCACTTTCAACTTACTCATTTACGTAAACAAAAATATCAACAAACATTCATTAACTGAACCACATTTGTTTGCCCATGATGTAAGCAACTTCTTCACTGAACCGGAAAAATCTGTGGTCTAATTCTGTCAACTCATAATTGAATTGTGATCATGGATTAGTTATGAGTTTGTCAAAAATCAATGAAAGCATTCTGCAGAATCAAAGAAAAAAGAAGGGATACATGTAGCTGGCATGGTATGAATTCCTTCTATGCAGAAAAAGGATCTGATGGCTGTAGCAGCAACCACCTTGCATCCCTGAAGTAGTGAGCTAACAGGTGAAGGACAGAACTGCAAAACAAGAAAGAAACCTGCCTCTTTAATAAACACTGTTGAGCAGCTACACTGGCTCTGAATAACCTAAGTCCAGAAAAATCTGAGGTGCTGGGTTTTTTCCTATTATCCAGAACTGAAATGCATTCCAAAGCGATACCAAAGCCCACCACATTTTCATTGTTATCTTTTGAATTAGGCTACAGGGAAGGGTGACAGGGAAAGCCTCTGATCTGTCAAGTGGTCTAATACTCCCTGCAACTGACAGTTTACAGGTGGGTGTGAAACTTAAGTATTGTCAGTGAAACAAGACACAGAGCTTTTAGAAAGGCTATCTCCTTAAATAGCAAGTAGGACACTTGCTGAGGAGGGCATGTCAACACACTCCAGTATTCTTGTCTGGAGAATCCCCTTGGACAGAGGAGTCTGGTGAGCTACAGCCCCTGGGGTTGCAAGGAGTTGGACATAGCTAAGCAACTAAGCAGAGTACAACACAGGACCCCTGCTACTGCTATGTCGATTAAGCCCAGCTAGCCTACAGACAATCTGGTGAGATGGTGAAGCAGAAAAGCTAATTAAAACAAAATACAGAACTTTCTGATGCCCTCATAAAAACAGAGTTGCTGAGTTAATCAACAAGAACTGCCTCGCCTCGTGACCTTTCCCTGGAAAAGTGAATCTCTCTGCACTGGTTACCATTATACCACTATGAGTTATACCATTACACCACTCTGAGTTGGGATTTCTGCTCTGTGCAGTTTTAAAAGCATCCTGATACTATCATCTTTTATAACAAAATGAAATCAACAAGATTTGAAGAGTTCCAGAGAGAACATTCTATTATTCATTCAAATATAAGTGTTGAATTACTGCCCCATTTTAAAAAGAGAAACCACATCTAAAATACCCATTCTCTAGACATTAGATATGAAGTGGAAATTGTTCAGGGAAAAGCAAAGTGCTCAGGGACTATGGAAATTAATGGGCTTGAAATGCCGAGAACTGAAAAAGAGGAAAACAGGCAACATCACCAAAAGGTTCAAAATCTTGATGGAGAGAAAGGCAAAAACTAATAAGTGAGCCGTTGTGTTAATGTGAAGTCAAATGAAACTCATCACTTTCAGGGTGCTCAAGTTCAGGGGGCTTTGGGTACAGCCCCAATTCAGGAAAGGTCAACACATCTGAGGGCTAACTGTGCTGTGGGCTTGGTTGCCTGGTCGTGTCTAACTCTTGGGACCCCACGGTCGTAACCCACCAGGCTCCTCTGTCCTTGGGATTTCCTCCTGGGAAGCCCGACTTACTATACAGTTCAATTTACATGAAATTCTAAAACAGATAAACTGATCAAAGGTGGTACAAAAAGCAGAGAGCAAGCGGATTGCAGGGGGCTGGGCTGTAAAGATTACAAAGAGAATGTGGGAACCTTGGGGGATGAATGAAGTATCCTGTGTCTGGATTTGGGGGGTGGTGATAGAGGTCTGGACATTTGTCAAAACTCACTGAGCCGGTGGTTCTACTTTGTTTAAGGTAATTTTTACCTAAAGAAAGTTGATTTTAAAATTATTTGGAAACAAATTTTATAATCTCCTTTGCAGATTCCTTCTCAACCTGGGACTCCAGGGTTCAATCCTCTTCTCCGTTTATACCTATTTCCAAAATTATTTCATCCAGTCCCATGCCTTTAAATACAAACACAACAGTCATGTGAATACGAACACAACTATTAGGCATGACGACAGTTGGGACCTACAGGCGAATGAAATAAAATGAAAGCTGAGTGTTCTATTTCTGGGTATATTTCAAAATAGGACCTTAAGTCTGATAAAGTCAGCAGGGACCTGGAAAGACTGACTGCTTATAAACTGTTCGTTTCTTATTTAAAAATTTATGATTAATCAAGTCTGTTCATTTATAGTTAGTGACTATCATGCACGAGGCAACCTGAAGAATTTGTTTTCTATGGGGTGGCATAACTGAGAATGAGGCTGTTATTCTAAAACCAGCAACCCAGAGTGAGTTTGGCCCTTCTTTCATCTCAGTCTACTTTTATGAAAGTAACACAGGCATAGTTTCAAAGGGTCCAGCATGCATCACCAGGACCAAGCCGCCTGCAGCTGCACACCCTGCACACAGGCTCTGCTCCCCAGATGCCACTTCCTGACCCATCCTGGACCTGGCAGGACAGACTGGCCCATCCTCAATAGCACCATCCTCGCCAGCACTTAGGTTCCAGCTTCTGTCTCTTTGAGTTTCAGATAAACGTGTGTTGAATCTACTACAATTACTGGAAGCCTCAAAATTTAGTCTTATAACCATGATTAAAACATCAGTTTTCTAAAATCTTTTTGATAGTATTTGCATTTTATTCTAAAAGTCCAGCTATCAACTTAATGGAATTTTAGTAAACCGCAATACTTAACATTTCTTGCTCTTTTTACTTTGTACACAGTAACACATTCTAAGATACTTTGTTTCTGCTAAGGTATTAGGACCAAAGGTTAAGTTTATCCTCAGGTAACCAACAGGTGAGTATC